AACGTGCTTTTGAACTGCTAGGTTGGCAGAAGCTGGGACAAGTCACGGGAGCTTCCTCTGTTATGCGGCGCTAGGGATTCGAATGCCGAACTGCTGACCTTTCTGACCGACAAGCTCAGTGTCTTAGCCCCTGAGCCACCACGTCCCACTTATAGACTTAGACTGAGCCGAGATGCTGAACTGCCCACGCTGGCTAACCAGAATTCAGTAGCGGTTCCCACATTTGCCCATGCCGCCGAAGTCTTGCCTTTTAGGGTTCACAGCCAAAGCCCATCCCTTTCTGGCAGCCGTCTGATTAGATTTCAGGGCTGTGTTTTCTCTGCCTGGAGTAAAGGATTTTCTGGGCCTTGGAGAGGAGAAGCCGTGGGTAGTTGGCATCGTGGCTAAAAATGGTAATTTAGCAAGAGTTGAATTAATTCAGATTTACTCAACCTAAGATAAACGGTGGTGGGATTCCTGGGGTTCTTAGAGATTCATCATACATTTTTTTTAATCTGTGCAAGAACTGATAGGTGAGCTCCACAGGCAAATATACGCATCGTTAAAGGAGAATATTTGTAGCTCAGGGTTGAAATAAGGGGTCCTTGGTGCTTAACCAAGGGTGGCTTTCTTGCGGATGACAAGAGGAATAGAGTAGAATAGAATAGAGAAATAGGAATAGGAATAGAAAATAAAATAAAATAGAACAAAACAAAACAGAATAGAATAGAATAGAATAGAATAGCAGAATAGAATTGAATGGAATAGAATGTAGAATAGAGAATAGAATAGAATAGAATTAAGCAATAGGAATAGAATAGAAAACAGAACAGAACAGAACAGAATAGAATAGAATAGAATGCAGAATGGAATTGAACGAAATAGAATGTAGAACAGAACAGAATAGAATAGAATTAAGCAATAGGAATAGAATAGAGAATAGAATAGAATAGAATAGAATGCAGAATGGAATTGCACGAAATAGAATGTAGAATAGAGAATAGAATAGAGTTAAGCAATAGGAATAGAATAGAGAATAGAATAGAATAGAATAGAATAGAATAGAATGCAGAATGGAATTGAACAGAATAGAATGCAAAATAGAAAATAGAATAGAATGAGGGGTTTGTGGAGAGGAAGAGAAGCGGTCTTTGATGCTCTCTCAGCTTGGTTGTTTTTTCTTACAGACATTTCATTGCCCAACAAGGGTACATCATCAGTGCTAGGAGGGAGTGGAATTGGGTGATGAGGAAGAGGAGGAGGAGTTGAAGTTGGAGGAGGAAGAGGAAGAATGAGGAGGGGCCCTTTGCGCTCTCTGAGCTTGGCGGTTTTATTGCAGATGTTTCATTACCCTACTAGGTAATGTCATCAGTGCTAGGAGGGGGAGGAGGAGGGGGAGGAGGACTGAGTGGTCCTCGGTACTATCTGAGCTTGGTTGTTTTCTTGCAGACATTTCATTACCCAACAATCAGATACATCATCAGTGCTAGGAGGAAGTAGAGTTGGGGGAGGAGGAAGATTAGAAGCTGAAGAAAGGAACAGTGGGGTC